AACATAATTTGACCCTCAATATGGAAGTTCTGATAGTCATTAGTGACACAGTAACTGTTCAGAAATTTGAAGTGGTGACAAATGAGATAATATGTATTAAGTAATTTTTAAATTTTTATTTTCATTTTATTATTACTTATCTGTTTATGAAGTTCAAGCTGTTGCTTTTGGTGTAAAACGGTTATTGTATTAAAATTGTATGTGTGTATTATTTGCACTTCATAATTTTTATTAATTTTTATTATATGTAGTATGTTAATGTATCTTAATTTGTGCTATAATATTAATGTATTATATTACATTATATGTATTGAGTATTACCTAAACAAATAAATGTATATCTCTCTTAGTTCATGAAACAGATATTAACAGAAAATTCAAATAGATTTGATCAATGGGAAACAAATTTAGAAAAAGGACTTATTCAAGAAAAATAATTTCTTCTCAATTTCTGAGACATACATTAAAGTCTACTATGGATTTAACTAATTTTTTATTGGAATGATTACAAAAAATTAGTGATTTAATTATGTTTAAAGTTCAAAGTTTAACCAAGACTGTTTCAAAAATAGAAAATAACGTTTATTAATTTATTACATTTCTGTGCTTACACACAAAATCACGCAAAATATATTTATTTATTTTTATAATTTTTTTATATTAATACTTTTTGTTAACATTTTTTGGAGTCAATAGACAGAGTTCAGGTCCAAATTACCATCCTTTTACTCCTACTTTTTTATTATTGGTTGTTTACTCCTTAGTAAAACCGCTAAAAAGTGGAAATTACATAGTGTTTGATGGTATTAATTTATATTTACTATTACCATTATTAAACAAGTAATTACATTTCTTTGGATACAGACTATAATTACCATATCTGACTTCATTAAATGAAAATAAAGCAAACTCAAAGAAGAGAAGAAAAGATTTTAAAACTAAAAAATCATAGTGATGAAATAGTAGAAGAAGAGAAATGTGATGTGTATGATGTTTCCAAGGACCATTTTATTTCTGAGAATTCAACATTTGAGTGTGTTGTTTATTACCTTGCTGAGTAAATTAGCTAATTAAATTTATACATTTTTAAGTCACTGAAACACTTAGGTATAAAGTTTTAATATTTAATTTAATTTTTAAGATACCTGGCTTGGCGGCAATGAAAAAAGACTAGGTGTCTTTTATGTTTGAAAGGGATTAATGATTATAATATGACTACAAATTTACACGAAGCTCAACTTGTAAATTTGAATAGCTGTGAGTTTTTGACACACTCAGACAATAATTTTTAATTGTATTTTCTAATCATGTACCAAGTCCAAACGTTTTTGAAGAGAGTTGATATATTTCTTTTTTAAAATAATTATCTCATTTTATCTCCTAGCAATGTCCATAAAGAAGAATTGGTTGAATATATTTTTACATCTTACCTTACAATGAGAATGAGATAATTTACTTATAAAAAGTAACAAGAATAAAACACCTTTAAACAAAATGTGAAAATAATTATTGAAATTTGTGTCAAGATGATGAACAAAACGAATTGTTACCTATTTTTATATTTATGTTAATAATTCAACAATGCAAAAATATGTATTATTATAAATAATAATAAATATTTGTAAATTAATTTATTACATGACTTTCATTGAAAAAAATACTGTAAAATTGATCTTTTTTAATGCAAATTATAAAGTTTGAATTAAAAATGTTAAAAAACTTAGTTTTCTGCGGTCCATATGTGTGCCACAATGCATAAGTAGGTATAGAAGTACTTTTTTAAACAAAAAATAATCAAACTCAGAGGCATCAGAGTTTTAATCTTGAAGTATGCTTTTGAACGAAAAACTCCCTGGTTCCGGGCCCTGGTTAGGGTCTTAACTTATTGTGTCTGTGCCAAGACTTAGCGGGGCCCGGGGAAAGTAAAAAATCTGGGGCCTCATTCCTATCTTATATATTACATCCCCATTCTAAATAAGTTATAGACAAAATTCAAAAGATAATTTGGTCTATCGATTTTAAAAGAAACAATTATTGTACATTAAGTATGTAAATAAAAGCAAAATAATCAATGGTAAATGTATTATCATCTTATTTGCATAGAAAATAAACTTATCATCTTAATAATTATTATAAAATATTAAAATACATATATGATTAATAATTACTTTTACTAACATTAAATGTATAACGAATTAACACTTTTTAAAATAGAATTATTTAGTCATACGAGTAGGTATGTCGAAGGTAAATCTCATCAAATTTTTATCTAAATCAGTCCATTTCTGTTCTTTTACGACTACCTCATATTCAAGTTGTAGCCATTGGTCCTCTGTTTCGTCTACCCTATTAAGTTAAAAGTAAAATAGTACAATAATAAAAAAATATATTATTATTTCAAAACTTACTCTATACTGTAATGACCATGAGCTATGAGCTAACGTGTGCGCTTATTATCTAGGACCACTCTTTTATCGTCATAGCTGTTATATAATATCACCTTTGTTGTTTCAAAATTATTAATTTGACAAAAAAATAAAAAAGTAAAAATAATTTGAAAAAAAATTACAATGATAATATGAGGCTTTTCTTCTTAATAAAAAAAAAAAAAAAA